CACACACACACACACACACACACACACACACACACACACCCTAGCATAGGCACGCACAATTTACGAGGTTTATTTGGTGACCAGCAACCATGCAAATGGTATCAGGGGCCTCCTGCAATGAATACCTGTTGGGAGGATGGAGGAGGACCTGGTGGGGTAAGGGCAGGAGCAAAGCTACGGACTGTCCCTCTCACCTCACAGTCACTTTCTCACCTCCCCCAGGGCTGGACACACATGGAGGCAGCAGCTGTGTGGGGAGCCGCCCAGCAAGCGAATGGGCGGTCCCTCTACGGTCAGGGTCTGGAGGACTTGGAAGCCAAGGCGCCCCCCAGACCCCAGGGACAGGAAGCAGAGACTCCAGGGAAGGTGACTGGGCCCGGTACCTGCCAATCCGTAAAGGGGTGGGGATTAGGGGTCAATAGCCCAGGGAGAGGCCAGGAAAGGGAGACTTGTTCTCTTGGGCAGGGGCAATGCCCTCCAGGAATCACCTGCTCCCAGCACCTCTCAGCTTTTCCTTGTCTGCCTGGGGGTCTCTGTGACTCTGAGATGCTCTGAGCAAGGCTTGCATGTGGTCTGCGTGTGTGTATGTGTGTGTGATCATGCAACTCTGACTCTGCACGGTGCTGTTGGTTGTGCTGTGCCATGATAAGTGTACATGTGTGTGTTGATAAGAGTGGGAGGTCTGCAGCCGGCAGAACATAGCTCGAGCATGTGTGTGGCCATGTGCCCGGCACATGCTCTGTCACTGTAACACCCAGTGACACGTGACAGAGCATGCCCCAATGTGTCTGCTTTAAGCTGTGCATATGAGTGAGTGTGGGTGGTGTGTGCCTCTCTGTGTGACTGCAAGGTTGGACATACCTGCGGAGGAAGGGGCTGCAAGCTGTGGATGTGCTCACCATGAATGCCCTGAGATCAGGATGTCACCCAGAATACTTGTGGCTATTAAAAGAAGGCCAGCTGTCGGCCCAAGTGCCTATGGAACGGAATGTCGATGGCGATTAGAGAAGGCCATATTCTAGAACACTGGAAATGTCGTGTGCACAGGCTCCCAAGCAGCCCTTCGCCCCAGCTGACAGCTCCCCATCTGCCCCTCCTGTCACACCCACACAACACCCCCAGCTCGGCTCCTGGGCTCTCTGGCTTCCCTAGCTAGTCCAAGGCCAAAGGCACGTTCCTGCCTTCCTTCCTTCCTGAGTGCTGTGTCCCTGTGCATCCAAGAACGAAAGTCCTGGGCTGTACCTGCAGTTGGGTAGCCTCAGCCTCTCTCAGCATTCCCCCTGGGGGCACCGCCCCCTGTCCTGGAGCCCAGGCACTGTGCATGCCATAAATGCCAGGACAAAGTCCTGGCAGTGACCCCCAGGCTGGCCAGGCACTGATGAAAGACACAGTGCCTGTCTTGGAGGGATAGGCTGGGGTGGGGTGCTGGGCAGCCATCAACAATCACCACACACATGTGATAAGCGCTGCCAACGAGGTGTGAGCACGCAGGGTACTGAAAGCAGAGGCAAGTCTCTGAGGCTCCCCAGGAAGGTAGAGGTGAAGCAGGGATCTGCAGGCAGCAGGGATGGGGAGTGGGGGTAGCACTGATCTGTCCAGGATGAGGATACAGCCTGTGTGACTGTGCAAACACAGGGGCACAGGGGAGGGAGCTCAGTATGTCCTGGAACAGGATGTCTCTCTGTGACCCTGAGAGCAGCCAGAGGGACCCTGGGGATTGGCAGTGGGGGACATAGGACAAGGGAAGACGGGCCGGAGGTGGTAGGAGCAGTGGGAAGGCAAGGCCCCATCAGGGACTGGCTTAGGTGTCTCCAGACCTGACCTAGGGACAGGAAGCCCTGGGAGGGGGTTGGTCAGCTTTGCAGGGTGAAGACTAGAGGAAGGAAGCACTGCAGGGCAGGCAACGAGTGACCCATTTAAGGGCAGCAGGAGCCGGGGTGATGCCAGAGTCTCCACATGTGGAGGAGAGGAGAGGAGAGGATTGGGTAGTGGGGGTGAGGATGAGTTCAGTTGTGACCCCGGGAGTCAAGAGCCCAGGGAGCATCCCAGGAGATGCTCTGCAGGCAGTGTTAGGCGTTACTGGCTCCTACTCTGGGATGTGGACTCTGGGAAGGCCCATCCCTGACCCAGCACACAACCTGGCCCTTCCTTGCAACCTCCCCACCGCTCGGTGACCCAGCATGTGGCGGGTCATCGGGAGACTGCTCCCAGTGAACTGCTCCTCAGCTAAACAGATGCGTGCTGTTTGTTTGCAGACCAAGGGGCTGCTCCCCTGCAAGGACTCCAGGATGTAGGACACCCACTGGCTCTCCCTTTCTTCTGGGACACATCCAGCACCCCCATGTCTCCCTCATGTACACAGACCCAGGATTACGCTGTGAGCCTGCAGGCTTTGGAAGTGGCCCTGTCACCCGTGCTGCACAGGATTCGCAGCCCTAGCCGCATGTCCCCTCTCCACACCTCAAAACTCCTGCCCCACAACGTCCTCCGCACCCACTTTCCAGCTCAGCAGCCGCATCCCAGGCCCAGCCTGAGGGGTGTGTGCCCAGGCTCTCCCGCTTCCCGAGTTGTCTGCCTCTCCTCAAATGCTGTGTGCTGCAATTGTCCAGGCGATGACAATGGTGATGGCTCCAGAGAACACACCAGCTATTTATGAGCCTCTGTCCGCAGGCTGGGCCTGTCACTGGCATAGGAAGGCCAGCTCCGCATCTCCCACTGCCAACAGCTGAAGCTGAGCACAGACCTCCCTTTGCACACTGGAACGGTTACTCACCTCTGGCTTCTTCCCCCAGCGCACCGTTCCACTGTGGCCCACATTCTTGTGCACACGGGCATTTGCAGGCATGCTCTCGCATAGTTACCTATTTGAATGCACACCAAGCACATGCGTGCACACTCTGCATCTGTAATTCATTTCATGTAATGGAATGAATAATTTCATGTAAGCTCCTCCCAGGGCTGTGTGGATCTGACAGGGTATATAGGAAAATAAAAAGTGGAGAAGGTGTCTTCAGACAAAATATGGTCTCTACCTGTTGGTGCTATTATGGGAGACAACCAGGGCCTGGCCTCTGATGCCTCCAGCAACTTCACTTCCTCTCCTCCCTCTGTCCCCACTCTTGGGACTCTCACTCTGAGGCCCACCTCAAACTGCAGGGAGCACAGCAGAGAAGGGACAAAGGCCAGGCTGGCCTCCGTCCCCACTCACTCCCCAGTGAGCCACTGAGCTCCGCCCAGCGCATGGGTACCAGCTGCTCTCTGACTGGCTTCACGTCTCCCGAGGGAGGCAGATGGAGGGAGGCCGGCCTTCGCCTTTAAGAGCACTCTCCTGCCACCCCTCCCTTTCCCCAGAGGCGAGCTTCATCAGGCAGGAGCCAGAGGCCAGAGAAAGAGCGTGCAGCTCCAGGTACAGCCTCCCCCAGCTCCCTGGCCCTGGGGGTGGGCGCCTTCCTTCTCCCACACTGGTTATGCCCTGCTGCTGGGTCCTCTCCAGCCTGGCAGGATGGACAGACACCCCTACGAAAGGGAATAAGGCTGGAGTTAGGGATGGATGACATGGGGCTTTGCAGAGAGGGACAGGGAATGGTACGGGGGAGGGACGCTGGCCATGGACTGCTGGCCTCCTGGGCTGGGCTGCGTGATATAGGATGAAGGAGGTGATTAAGCGGGGGAAAGGACAGTCTTCCTGGCCTCTTCCGCTTGATAGTTTTGTGACTTTGGGCAAGAACAAAACAACCCCGTAATATGGGTGATCCTACCTTGCACCTTGCATGTGCCAGGCCCCAGGAGTGAGGCTGGAAGCTGAGAAATGACTCATACCTAGGCCTCTACTGACTCCTGAGGGTCCAAGCCAGAGCTCTCCAAGAGGGCCAGCAAGCAGCCAACCCAGTTGCCTCCCCTGAGCCTCAGTTTCTCCAACCAAGGAGCCAGGGTGGGCCTTGATCTATCTCCAGACCACATAGGGGCCTAAGGTCTTTCTTGGGGAAGGGGTTGGCCCAAAGACCACACTGGCAGAAGTCCCAAGGTGCTGAGGCCCCCCACCCAGAACACACTGTCTCTGGGGTACAGGCTGAACATGCCACACGTGCTTCCCCCTCCTTGCCCCTCCTGGCCCTGTGTCGAGCAGCTGAGCAAATGGCGTCTCCTCCCTTCTCCCTGCCCCCTGCCATTCCTGCGCAAAGGGCACGGGGCCTGGCGTGTGGCACTGGCAGCTGGAGCTTTCCATGCTGCCGTCAAGTTTTCCAGAGCACAAATAAGACAGGAGAGCCAGGAATAACTGGCTGGGCCCCCAGAGGGTCTGGAGGGGATGGGCCTACCTCAGACCTGCTTTCAGACCCTGTGCCAAGGGGTGCAGGCAGAGGGCCAGCTGCCCAGGACCAGGGCTTTGGGAGGCTTCTGTGGCCATTGGGAGCCCATTATCTGGCATGCATCCTGTAAGAATCAGCCCGGGCTCCAGTGTGGCCTGGGTCCACTCCTTGTGTGACCTTGGAGAAGTCATTTAACCTCCCGGAGCTTTGTCTCTTGTGGGTCCAGGTGGCAGCTTCTCAGGATCCCAGGGAGTGAAGGGCGCATGCTGAGGCTGGCTATGCCCGGAGCTGCTGCTATTATGATCATTTTTATGGCTGGACAACCCTGGGCCAGTCACAGACCAGCTGCAGGCTCAGTTCAGGCCAAGCCACCTCCAGGACCCCACACTGGATAAAGCACAACCCCAGAATACTGGGCAGGGACCACATGGCTGCAAAGCCCCTGCCCAAGGGAGCTCAACCCCTGGTCTTCTGAGCAAGAGGATGGGTACCACGGAGCAGGAAGAGCGAGTGTCTCCGCTCTCCAGAGGACACAGGAGCAAGGAGACCAGAGCATTCTCACCAACCTGGCTAGTCCCCCTTCCTCCCCCCTGGGGGGTGCTGGGTGCCGGACACCCCTCCCCAGGGGCTATATTAGCTGTGTGAGTCACGGTGGACCGGCTGGGAGGCCGCAGGCGGGCGGGACAGTGTAGGGTTACAGTCCATTTATGGGCGCAGCCGAGGGCAGATATCAGTGTCGATGGCATTCGCTCCCAGCTATTCTTAGGAGCCTCTCAAGAGCTCCACGCAGCCCAGCTGGGCAGCAAGGGACAGAGCAGGCAAGGCCGGGGGGCAGGGGCAGGGGCAGGGGCAGGGGCAGAGGTGTGGACCGGGCAGGCGGAGCGCCTGAGTGCCCTCTCACTCAACCCTCTCTACCCTTTGTCTGCAGAGGCGGCCGCTGACAGCACCAGCATGTCTTACAGTGTGACCCTGACTGGGCCTGGGCCCTGGGGCTTCCGTCTGCAGGGGGGCAAGGACTTCAACATGCCCCTCACTATTTCCCGGGTGAGTGCACCCTGCCACAGCCTGGCACCCGACGGGGCGGGCACGCTGTGTGTCTGTCTGTCCTTTCTGAGCCTCTCAGAAAGCAGAGCATGCCCCATCCCCTGGGACTGGCCTGGTCCTCTGGTCTCAGCCACAGCTGTTTGCTCACAGGAGCCTGCCGGCCTGTTATGCATGTGAGACATCATGAGCAGGTGGTAGGTGTTTTTAGCAGAGAAGAAAATGCTGAGTTTTCAGGCAGGCAGGCAGGCAGGTAGCTGGACAGAGTACAGCGCCTTCCTGATCCCTTCACTGTTAGAGTGGGCTTAGGGTGCCCCCAGGCCTTTAGCATTTCCCTAGATGTGGGCAGCTGCTTTGGGAAGGGAGCATTCCCAGCATGGAGAGGGCAGGTGATGGGCAGTCGGATAGATGGACAAACAGGCTGCTGACCTTGGCTGTCCTGCTGTCAGAGTGTGGGGCTGGGCTGGACTGAGTACTGGGCACCCGCTCCATCCCAAACTTGAGACACCAGCACCCTGGCTCATGGGGCTGGGTGGTCCTCCCCATTCACCGTGGCTGCTTTGTCTGTCTCACGACTTGTTCCCCGCAAGCGCTGGGGCCTGGTGAGATGGCCCCCTGTCCTGCAGTGTCTGTGATGGGGAGCAGCATGGCCTAATGCAGATGACACAGAACATCGGGTTGTCTGAGTAACTCTACCGCCTGGCTGGAGACAGCAACACCAGAGAGGCAGAAAGCTAGCCATGCTCCCAAGGAAGCACTCCAGGAACAGGGACTGACGGGGGAACAGCATCTAGACCGTAGTAGGCACTCCGTCAGTATTTGTCAAACAAAGAGACTCCCCGGCAAGGCACTGGTAGACCCAGGGCTGAAGACCCCAAGGCTCAGGATGAACTGTGAGGCATACAGGGCAAGGACAACCCTGCCTGGTGGCTGAGCCCCTGGCCGTGCTGTTCTGGTCACAAGGCAGGAGCGGGAGGCTCCCAGGCTGTCACCGGAGGGTAGTGGGTGCGCAGGGGTATCTGGGCTACTGCCCCACTAGGGGAACAAGGGGACAGTTTCTTCTCTGGGGCCTTTGGGACTTGCCTTGGGCCTGGGGGCTGGAGGAAGGGGTTGGAGGGGAAGCACTGAAGTGGGCAAGGCCTGAAGGTGCTTGGCAGAGGGACCAGGGAGCCTGGGCAGAGGGTCAGGAGCCAACGCCACCACTGGAGAAGTAGTCTCTGTTTTTGGTTCCATGGGTACTTGGGGGAACCCCAGAAGTAGAAGCCCCACCCAGGGATGCTGTGAGAGCCTTATAATAGCCATAGAGGCCACATGCTTCCAGGGTGGGTGCTGGCCTGGCTCTGGCACAGGGAACAGGCCCTGCCCTCCATCCTTCAGTTGGAGATGTGGCTTGTTCTAACCTGGAGACTCCACCCCTCCAGATCTACTGCCCTGGAGACCACAGGGTCCTGGAAACCCACAGCTTTGCACACTTTGCATGAGGTGGCGACCTGTGGGCATGTGAGCCCCAGTGGATTTCCCACTGCCCTGCACAGCTCCCCACCCCCATGCTTGCAGGACTCCTTCCTGTACAAGGTGGAGCCTCTGTGTGTTCTCTCATGGGCCCTGTGGCCTCCCCTGCCTGAGACTGAGCCCACATCTCCCCCAGCTCCACCATCTCCAGGCCTCCTGCTGGTGCTCCCTGCCCTATCCCTATGGGTGCAAATTGGCCACTGGGCTCACTGGCACTCAGGATAGCCAATGACTTCACCCAGGGTCTATGTGCCACCTGGCCTCAGCCAGCCAGGGGCTTAAATGGCAGCCCAGAGGCCTTAAGCTAGATAACAGGAGGAATGTCCCTACTCCGGGGAGGGGGTATGCAGGGATGTGCTGGATCCAATGACGGGGGGGACTTTTAAAAATAGAACCCGAAGCCCAGGCAGGGCACTGGGGGATGGGCATGATGGCCTCTCGGCTTCCTTTAGGGGCATACCCCAAATCACCTGAGCTGTGGAGCAGGCTGGACTGGGAACTGGAGCCCTTCCCGGGGCTTGGAACTTCTTGAGAAATTTTGGTGGTGGGCTGCTGATAGCCTGGGCTTGTGTCCTGGTTCCGTGCCGCTGGCAGGGCAGGCCTTGTGGACACAGCCCTGCCATCCCACCAGGGCTGTAGGATTTACTGCTGGGGCTCGCAGGGCCCTTCTGCACCAGGGACATCCCCTTACGGGGGAGGCATGGCCAGAGCTCTCTGGAGGAACTCCACTCCCACCCCAGCCAGGACCTGAGCCTGTGCCATAGGGCACTATAGGCAAGAGTGTGTGACCCTGTGGGGTGGGCAGGCAAACGAGGCTGGGATCGTTACCTCACTTCAGAGCCTGGCAAACTGAGGCTGGAGTTTGCTCACAGGACAGGGATGGCCATGGGTGGATCTCCTGTGTCCTCTCACCCCAACTCCCGTGCTGGCCTGCTCACCCCTCTGACTGGGACTACTAGAGAGGCACCGGGGAGACCTGTCCCCTCTCAGCTGCAGGTGTGTGTTGCGGCTCCTCCTGGAAGGACACAGGCCACCTGCAGGCTGGGTGGTGGCTCCCGGGGGTCCACGGCAGCAACCTTGAGGCGGCAGCAACCTTGGGGCAGCAGCAGCCCCTCAAGGCCTCCCTTCAGAGGGTCTCCTCTTGCAGACTCACAGAGAAGGGGATTCAAGAGGGAGACTGGGAGCGGAGCGTGGCGGGGAAATGCCTTTATTTATCCTGGACAGGTGTGGCTGGGCCTGCAACATGAGCTGCCCTTTCACCCCACCCCAGCCAGTTCTCCAGGAAGTGGGGAGGGGGCAGAAGCGCAGAGAGGGAGCAGCTCCAGAGGCCCAGCCCGGACTCTGCCCTGGCAGCTGGCCAGAGGCTGGGACCATGGTCTGGGCTCTCGCCTCTTCACGCCTCTCATGCCCCCACCTTGGGGAAGACAAGTGTGCTTTGTTAGGCTCTGCTGTTCTCAGCTGTGTTGCCTCAGAAGTCTGTTTACCTGCTCAGCCTCAGTTTTTCTCACCCTTAAAATGGGGACAGCAGGCCAAGCGTGGTGGCTCGTGTCTGTAGTCCTAGCACTTTGGGAGGCCAAGGGGCGGACCACTTGAGGTCAAGAGTTGGAGACCAGCCTGGCCAACATGGTGAAACCCTGTCTCTACTAAAAATACAAAAATTAGCCAGGTGTGGTGGCGCATGCCTGTAATCCCAGCTACTCAGGAGGCTGAGGCAGGAGGATAGCTTGAACCCAGGAGGCAGAGGTTGCAGTGAGCTGAGATCGTGTCACTGCACTCCAGTCTGGGGAGTCAGGAAAACTCCCAATCCAGGGAGGCACAGCCAGTTGGAGCCACCCTGGCAGGCAGGGAGAGGCTTTTTGAATGAGGAGACGCCCGTTTATTTATCGGCCAAGGTGGAGTTGGGGAATGGGACCATGGGAAGACAGAAGGTTCCAGTGAGAGGGTGAGCATGAGCAGAACCACAGGGGAGGCCAGTCTCACAGAGTGAGACTCCATCTCAAAAATACATCAATAAATAAATAATGCCTTCCATACCTGTGGGAGCTCTTTCTAACAGGCACTTATGAAAACTTTCCACCTGGTGTCTACCAGGACAAGTTGTGAGACTGGTGGAATTGGGGGGCTGAGCCTGGGCCCAGGAGGGGCCTGCCTCTCTACTGGAAGCCCTCTGTCCCTAGGGTCTCAGGCACCCCACCTGCAGGCTCACCTGGAGCACCAGCCCAGAGGCCTCTCCTCCTCTGTGGGTTTCGGTTCCAGTTATATATCAGACTCTCCCAGCTGTGGTGGGAACATGCTGAGGACAGAGGGTCTCTGGGGAGAGGAAGGGGGACAGGCTGAGACTATTCTGGGGTAGCTGTGCCAGCAATGCCTGGAATTTCGGGGCCGCTGCAGCATTTCTTGGGCAGCTCTTAGCAGTGCTGACAGGCCATGCTGTTTATAGCTGCACTGAAGGTCAGGCAAGCCTCCAAGGGCTTCTGTGGGGCTGGCAGGGGCCTCCCCGGCAACATCCATCTATCAGCAGGAGAAGATAAGCAGCCAGAGGCTCGGAGGCTCCCAGCTGGGGAATGTATTCTTAGAGGTCCCCCAGGCCAGGTCCTCCCTGCCACTCGGAACTGTATCTAACTCTGTGAGGGATCCAAAAGGAGAGGACATGAGGCTAGCTGGGTTCTGGGGAATGAATTGGACCCTTGGAGGCCTCCAGGCCAGGACACCGTGCAAGAGCAGCTGCATGAGCAGCCCCAGGGCTCCGGGGCTACAGGCATTGTGGGGTTGCCAGTGTAAGGACTTCAGGGCTATCTGAGAAAGACTAGGCCAGGCCCTGTTGGGGGATAGCTCCCCAATTCCCTGAGTCTCCTTCCCTTTCTACATCATCCCCTCTCTTTTTTTTTTTTTTTTTTTTTTGGAGACGGAGTCTCGCTCTGCCGCCCAGGCTGGAGTGCAGTGGCCGGATCTCAGCTCACTGCAAGCTCCGCCTCCCGGGTTCACGCCATTCTCCTGCCTCAGCCTCCCGAGTAGTTGGGACTACAGGCGCCCGCCACCACGCCCGGCTAGTTTTTTGTATTTTTTAGTAGAGACGGGGTTTCACCGTGTTAGCCAGGATGGTCTCGATCTCCTGACCTCGTGATCCGCCCATCTCGGCCTCCCAAAGTGCTGGGATTACAGGCTTGAGCCACCGCGCCCGGCCCATCATCCCCTCTCATCCAGAGGCTGACCCTGACTGCAAAGACCCTCCCCCACGCAGAGCTCTCCCGCCCTCAAACGCAGCTTTGGCACCCCTTTGGGACCAGGCTCCACCTCTGCCCAGGAACCATCCTTGGATGCAAGAATGGGCCTTGCTGGGGGCCCCTGAGAGCCAGCGCCCCTGAGGGCATTTTACTGGCCACACCCAAGCCACAAATGGAACTGTGGACCTGGACAGGAGGAAGAGAGGCAGGAGAGACTCAAGAGACACTTGAGGAAAGCCAGGGCAGGTGTGGTCAGTTAGAGGGGGG